TAGACTTTCAATTTCTTCATACGTTTGCTCTCTTTTTCACTCAAAATCTGGCACTTTCCAACACTGTCAATTAGTGTCAATAACATAAATGCTTGCATACAATACCTAACAGAAAAATTAAACTACATTTTATATGAGTCCTTCGTCCTTAGTGCTCAGTGCTTAGTCCTTAGTCCTCAGTTCTCAGTCCTCGGTCCTCTGCCGTCAGTCCTCTGTCCTTGGCTGCTCTGCTCAGAGCGCTCGAGTGCTCCGGGTGCCCACTACAAAGCAATAACTGACTAATTGCTCGAGTCCAAAGTGTGCACACACGAGAGAGGGCCGACTACATTTGCATTTACACATATAGTATATGGCACAGGCTTAGCCCAATTAGGGGCGTGACGCAGGAGGGAGGTAGCCGGTGACGCCATCTTGCAAAAAATGTAAAACAAAGTGCAGCCGAGAGAGTCCAAAACTCGTACTCATATGTATTTATGGCATATATCATGCTATGGGCAGGCGGCTCAACCACTTTGCAGCAATTTTAGATGCGGTTGCAATTCAAGTATCAACAACAGGCAGAAACGCAAAAACAACAAGAGCAACAATGAAATAGCAAGTAACAGCAGCACTTTGCACTTCCGTTTCCGGCAATTATTGTGCTGCTTCAGCTCTGGCAGCTTGAGCTTAGCAGCCAGTTCGTCTCTTGTGCCTGCTGCAATTTTCTTCAATTTTATATTTCGCAAACACACACACACACATGCATGCATGCTGCCTGCTAAAAGGGGGGCGGTGCGCTGGGCGTGTCTGTGAGCGACATGTCGAGCATGCAAAACTTTTTCAATTCGTTGCATTCAAAAATTTGCATAAACATTCCACCAAAACTTTAGTTTAAAAAGAAAGTGTGGTCGAGTGGAGAGAGTGCATGGATGAAGGATAGCAACACAGAGAGAGAGAGATAGAAAGAGAGGGCAGGAGTGAAGGAGAGCTATATAAAAAGTCAAATATTTATAGTATGTGTGTGCCTTATGAAAAGTTTTATATAGAAAAATCTAATATGCGTAGCTCTTGTAGCCTGGGATGATATATTAAAAAAAAAGAAATAAATAAAATAAACCAATAGGAATATTAAAAAAAAAAAAAAAATTAAATTAAATTAAAAAAATTAAAAATTCGTATTATAAAGATATAACGTAATGAACATAAATATATGAATATAAATATAAATTTAAAATTAAAAAATAAATAAAACAAAACATTGTAATTTAAAAAAATATATTCATTTAAGAGTGAAGTATTGATGCATGAACCAATATTTTTATAAATAGAAATAAAAACAAAGAAAATCGAAAAATATATAAATTTAAATATAAGAAAAAAAAATATATATATATAAATATCATCCATTTTTCGTATACTCTTTCACCTTTAGTTTAAGCTCAACCATTTTGCAAACACTTCTTTATCTTTATTTTAAGTTCATTCGTTTTTCATTCTCTTTTCAATTAAATTAAAAATGTCCATATATTTCTCCTACAACGCTTGGACATCAATTTGCCCTTCACACTCATTTGCTGAGCCGCTTTACAAAAATGTGAAAAATTTAATTTTCATGTTTTTCATTTTTTGTATATATAGAAAATTGTGTGTGTGTGTGTGTGTGCGTCTGTGCATGTGTAACATGGCAGAAAAAAGGTTTCAAGTCTCGCACAGAATTTCGGTTTCAATTTTAGCATTATTTTTGATCAGCTGTCAGTTTTCTGCTTTGATGCGTCCAATCAAAATTCAATGCTCGACCGCTCTCGGTTTTGCATCTTTGGATATTTTCTTTGGCTGGCAGCATTTTGTGGGCATTTGCTGCTTGCTGACTGCCAGCTATTTACTTAGCTTGATTAATAACCGGAGCTGTAATTTTAATTAAACGAATCCAGCTTAATTTATGCAATTCATATGGCATTTCATCATTTTGCACTTGTCATGCAGCCCCAAACGATGGCGCCCAACTCAGAGCTTAACGCTTCGCAAGGCAGCGTAACAGAAGCTGTTCAAGTTTGTCTCCTAATGGTTAAATACCATGGGCTTAGAGCCAAGGGGGGCGAATGAATGAATAAGAGAAAACTTTAAAGAACATTTGACTTTTGAATTTATATCTTGTTTATTGTCATTTAATTATAAAATATAAATATAAAGTAGGATTAAAATAAATTTTTACACACTTTTAATTTCATCTAAATATTGTTATGATATAATAGCTTCAATATCTTCTAAAGAAATTGTCACCTATGTAACAAGCAATATGTAATGCCGAAAACTCTTTTTTTTAGTTTTATTACAATTTGAATTAAAATAAAAATGTAAAAGACCAAGCTAGACTCAAGTATTGCCTATACTTTTACACATTTTATTTAATAATATTTCAATATATCTGTACAACATAGCAAAGCCCCTATTTAACTAACTTCCTACGGCTCTGCGTGCCTTTTCAACTGGCAACTGACAGCTGACAACTCATTTAGAATTACAAGAGCTATAGAAACAAGAATAACAATGACGACAAGTTTGATGAACAGTCAGCTTAAGGAGCATTGAGATAGATACAAACCCACATACACAGACACACACACACACACATACACACACGCACACACACACACTTGCTTAATGAAACTTTTGAGCAACAATCTGCATATGCAAATTAACCGGGTTAGCCTTTCAATGAAGAGGACACCCCATATAGCTGGCACATGCACATCTACTCAGCTGTATTTAATATAGTGTGCCGTCTCAATTAAAACGCAATTAGGCAACGGCCGTTAGACAAACTATATTAACTCTATGATGCGTCTCATTTGCAGGTCAAGACCCACAAAGACAGACGATCCAAGCCGGAAATGTTGACCTTTGTCAACCACACCGAATGCCATTGCATCGATCGCAGCAACTACTATGCAGAGGGCGTCATCTCCAGCAACGGTGCCGTAGTGCAGCGTGCCACCATGCTCAATTGCAATTGTCCCGTGCACTTCGAGCGCATCCTACAGAACGACGGGCTATGCAGATGCGATTGCTCCTCGAGCAACTACGATTGCGACTATCGCAAGCGAGGCAGCGAGCACTTCTCCTTGGAAGATCGCAAGTGAGTAGAGATTGAAGAAACTAAATACCCTTTCCACATATGTAATGATCTTATATTTCTCTTCTCCTTCCTTCCCTCTGCATAGGTGCATCAAGGAGGGACGCTGCAAGCCGCCCACCTGCCAATATGGGCCGTACATGGAGAAGATTGGACGTTGTCCCAATTATCATGAGCAGACCTCGCATCCGATGAACAACTACAATGCGGTGGACTTGTCGTAAATGCATAGCACGGAACTGGAACCGGAATCGGAACACAACAAGTATTAGTATAAATACAGTTATACGAAAAAGAGTTAAACGACACGGCAAATGAATTGAATTTGTAGAATTCAGTTCAAAGCAAGTTTTGAGTTCGAAATCGAATGCCGAAACCTGTCGAAAGAGAAACGAAAGGGAATTTAGTTGCATATCCTATACAGAACACGAACATATATCCGCTGATCGAAATTAGCTCTTATACAGCACCTTTTTTGCGACCCTAATTCAGATCATCTTTAATAGCTGTAAAGATTCAAAACGAAAAACAAAAATTAAATTGACTTATATTAAAGGTTATTTGAAAACTACAAAAAAAAAATATCAAGCGAAGGATTGATCTGATGATGGATCTGATGAAAATCAAATTTCCTTTTATTAAAGTAGAGTATCTAAAGCGAAATCGATGTGTTTTCAATGTATAGTTGATGCAGATGATTATAATCTATTAAATTAGAAAAAAAACTCAATAATTCTATTAATTGTGTGTGAAGCAAAAAATAAAGAAAATATTCCAAAATATGAATTGACTGGATCTTAGTTTAAATTTACTAATGTTATGTTATTTAATTATAAAAACTGAAAACAAACAAACAAAAACGAGAAAAAAATACAAAAAACAATAAACGTAATATTATTAGCAATTTTAATCATACAAAATACGAATATATAGGATATTTACATATATATATGTATGTGTTTAGAGAGAACTATTCCCACTCAAGTTAAATACACAAGAGGAAGACGAAGAGATAAACACAATACTGCTCACAATATAATTACACACAGAGAGAAAACGAAATGTTAAGCATTTGGTATTAATTAAATACTAACACATATTTTAATTTCTAGTCAAAGTTGTTCTTGTACATGATTTGTCTCAATCGAGAGCATTTAATGAGCATATTATAAACATACATACATACATACATAAATACCATAAATATATATAGAGCGTATCTATACATATTATCCAATGAAAGAAATACATATATATCCGACTGTATCTACTTGTAGCTATCATTAACTCTTCATCTCGCTCACACTAACTTTCGCTCTCTCTCTCTCTCTCTACACATATTATCTGTACCGAATTGTTTATTAATTCAAAAGCCATTCAATAAACCCACCAACAACACATGCAACAACAACAACAGCTGCAACAAAGACAAAACAAAAATAATTTTAAATTTCAGTTTAAATATATAAATTTATTTTAGATAATTCAGTTTGTGAACGTTTGGCAATAAACTGCAAAAGCAAAAAACAAAATCAATGAAATTAATATTAGAATATTATAGTATTTAATTGTAAATGTTTTATGTTCGATTAAGCCATTTATTTTGCAATTGAAATGCATTAGAGAGAAAGTGAGATAAACATTTATTCAGCTGATTTTATGAGCCTATTCAAAAATCTATTCATTTCAAAGTATTCAGCAACAATGAGCCATTATTCATATTTATTAAACTCCACACACACACGCATAAATATTTAAGCATTTATGTCTTGTTTTAAAAGTTATATTAGAATTATAAATACATATTATATATGCATTAATATATGCAAAATACAAACCAAACATTTCACACACATTTTATTTCTAACTTTAGCATAAATTTTAATGTAAAGAAAAACAAAAAACAAGTTTAAGTATCATCAAACACCATACTTATAAATAATTGATGAAATTATTATTACTATGCGAAAATCCAAATAAATACAATAAAAAAAAAGCAAAACAAATATATGTGTGTATAATTAAAAATGAGTTCTGGTTTCATTGCAAAGCTATATTTGCACAAGTCAACAGTGTACCAACATTAATAAACATGAATTACTCAAATGTTTAAATATAGAAGGATTATAAGGAACAGATTTATCGAGAATCTAAGCTCTCGATCTGCTAACAGGTGTTTAACAGCCAACTTAGCATCGATTCTATTACATAAGCAGCAGCTGTTATTTAACACAGAGCTGTTGAATCGACTGCCCCTGCAGGTATGCAATGAATTTTATAACAGATTTCTTGAGCTTGCACTCGACTCCATTCAAGTATTAATAAGTATAACAAATAAATAATTTTCGTCTTTGATTTGACTGGGAAATTAGCTCACCGCGCTTTCATTCCACAGTGTCAGCCAGATCCTGTCTTAAGCCCTGACCCAATTACATTTCTCATCAAGCTCAATACGCCACCTGTCGTTGAACTGGGGCATAACAGCTAGCATTATGTATACGATAAGCTCTCACGCTCTTGTTTGCACTTTTAGCCATGCTAATGATAATGGCTGAGCAGCTGGCAAACTTCTAATGAAAATGCATAACAAATGGCTTATCTGCTGGCACATATCCACACACTTACACACACACACACACACACACACACTAACCGCAATGGGGAAAACAAAACACGCAACACACGTAGTTTTCCCACACACATGCGAAGGCAGGTTTGAGCATTATGATCTAAAATTTATAGAATTTATAAACAGACAGCGCCCAAAAGGGTTAATGATGCGGGCTCCCTTTGGCGGCTAAGACGGCAAGCAAACTAAGTGAGAAACAAAATAGAAAGAGAGAGTGAGTTAGAGTAAAAGAGAGAGCGAATAAGAGAGCAACTAAAGCAATTAAAGTAACTATGTAAGACACGAGATGATTCGAAGATGCAACAAGGCATTAAGGGCATAAATAAGAGACTCAAGTTCAGTCATGCAATCAATAAAAGTGAAAGCTCTCGATACTAACAAAACTAGCAGAAAGTATATAAGAATATAGTAAAATGCAGAGTCCAAGAAAAAAGTATTCTGAAAATATTGATGACTACTATTTGAATTCTTCTCCAGATGACGAAATTGAAACAGGCCAGAAACAGCGAAAGTTACGAAATTTTTTACGCAATGAAAAGGAGAGATAAAGAGAGAAACATAGAGGCGTCTTCTCCCGTCGTCTATAGACAATGAGGAAATCAATTAAAATGGATGCGGAGGACACAAGTGCTGCGAATCCATTCGATTCGATTTGGGCATGTGAAATCACACGGAAATGCAAACAGAACGAAAACTCTGCGACTACGCAAACAGCAGCAGTAGCAGCAGCACGAAGTGGGCGTTAATACGGATGTGGGGGCGTGGCATGTGCTGAAGGATCAGTGCAACGCAGTGCAGACAGTCGAGTGAGCGAACAAGCGAACGCGTGGGCTTGCAAATTAAAACCGCATACGCAGTGGGCGTGGCAAGGCATGGCAATGGCTGATGTTTGCCATGATACGCCTGCATAATTAATTCCCACACACACACACACGCCCACACGCCCACCAAAAGATGGGCACCAAAGGTGAGCCTGGGCGGCAGAGAGATACAGAGGGCCACGGGATGAGTGTGCAAAGCAGGCCTTAAATACAGGTAGCAGTTGCCGCCGTTCAGCTGATATGCCGACAAACGGCAAATGCCGCAGCGCTTAAATTGCAACTCACACGGACACGAATGCATTCACACGCACACGCACGCACACACGCACACATCTACTGGGACCGACAAACAGATACAGAGAGCAATTTACATAAAGCTGCAGCACTTGGCTGGCAACCCTCCAGTCTTTCATCGTCCTCATCCATGCTAAATGCGCTTAATTTCCCGTGCACAACTTTTTGCATACCCTTCAGTAATAGAGGATGTTCAGAGAGTATGAGCTCATTGGATACAGTCGAGAAAAACGTTTAGATTAGTGTATTAAATATACCTTTAATTTATAGTTTAAATAATGACTTTTAAAATGAAAATACACATTTTTTTAAAAATTCATTTATTTTTATATTTTTATATATTATTCATTAATTATTTTTTTTTTTATTTATTTATTTATTTTTTTTTTTTTTTTTCAGGCAATTAGTCTGCCTTTAATATTTAAAAATATATATGAAACAAAATGAATCATTTTAACATTTAATATGGCGAAAACAAATTCCAATGTATATTATAAAAAATATATATATGTATACGTATATATATTTTCAAAGATTTTTTTAAACTTTTCTTTAAAAAAAAATTAATTTAATTGTTGAATTTATTATAAATATTAAATATTAATTTTAGTTGTTTTAATCGTGACCAAGAATTTATTCTGCATCAAATATTTATGAATAAGAAAAAACAGAGCCCAAGTAACCAAGGCGAACAAACAGAACTAGAAAATACAAAGGAAAAAGAAAAGATTATGTGACGGAAAATACTTTGACATGCAAAAAGGAACTTCTACCAGCTAGGAATTCCAATTAGTTTCTTTTGAAGTAAGCCCCCCAAATAAAATTGGGAAAGGTAATTATTTGGCTTCAACTACAGACTCCAGAAAGAGTATTTAATAGTTTGGCTTCATAAGTTGATCAATTTTAATTTCAGATTTATTCCACAATTGCCTTTACAATGTTGCATTTTTACGACTCTCATGTGTGCATGTATATGTATATGTAAGTGTGTGTGTGCTAATTTTTGTTTCTGCTTGCATTTGGTAAGCGAATACTGCAAATATTTATAAAGAATTAAGCATTAACACAATTTAGCCGCGAACAATTTCGCATTTATGCGTTGCCACAGCGAGAAATTTTTAATTGCACGGAAAATCTATGCAAAACGAAACAAAATTAAATGCATTTTCAGCAGTTGCAACCACTTTTCCAATTACCCAATTGGAACGATTACATTTTGGAGCTCTTGCGATACAAATAGCATGCAGAAAATATCTCTGTAATAATCCATTGAAATTCCATGTGCTCAATTGGGCATAGTATATATATAATCTATGATGTCTGAACTTGAATTTGGAAATATATTTATAGAATATTGCAGGTTACAGATCATACATAAATTTTTGCTGTTAAAATAGGGCGAGTTTTTTTTTTAAATACCCGAATTCTAAAAAGTTTGGTTTATGAACTTTTAATGAATGTAACTCCATCTTGGACTACCATTTCCTGCCAGTTTCCGGTTTTAGTCTAACGGTTTGTGTCTCTACTAATTTCTATTGTCTTTGCCAATGAATAAATGCAAACAGTTTGCATACTTTTCAAGGCGTAGCTCTATATATTACAAGCGGCTATTAAATTAACTCGTTGCACGCACGTTCAACATACAAAATCTCACGTTTGTTTTCCTAATGGCAGCGCGTTCGGTCGCTTTCAGCGGCAACAGGACCCCACAGCCGGGAGGAATGTGCGTGGCCGACCTTGAGTCATGTGGAATGTTAAGTGGTTATGCAGTT